ATGTCGACCCGAGAACACTTGAGAAGAGTCGGAGTCGGAGCTTGACAAGGTCTTGCTTGAAATCCCTCTTTCGCGTTCAAGTCTGGAGAGCAAGAGCTTAAAATCGAGGCTGCGTTTCTCGAGTGCGGTGAGGCCCGAAAGTCCAATTCAGCGACGGTCACCGTGCAAACTTGAATGTGTAGCAAAGCTATAAAGTCATTCATGGTAGTACAGAGTGCTGCATAATGGAAAGGTCTGTACAACGACAGTAAAGTTCACAATGATGCATCACAATACCATGAGAGTGTTGAGGAGGATAATAACAACCTTCATAATCACGGATTGGCGAAGCAAGCTTCAATGCTACAGTATCTCTATAATCGGAGACACCTGCAGAAGTGCTCTTTCTATCCTCATACTGTCATGGGCGGCATACTATGGCATGCTACTACGGACACTTCAAGCAGCGTGCCAGTGTCGCTGGAACACGATCATGTTATCCCGTCCTCTTACTGGTCAATATGGGGATCTGCCCATCTTCGGTTGCGCTTGTGCGCCATCCCTTCACGAACAAGTCCCCCAAGCTTTTGACTACTCTCGTCAGCCAAGGTGCCGTAAACCAGCGAGACGCCCTGGTCATCGTAGAGCAGCATGTACCCTGGACTTGCTTTTGCTACAGAAACACTGGGAAGCACTGGTCAAACAGCTTGACCCTATCCAGCGCACCTGCTAGCAACCGGGTGGACGTCCAGCTTGCTCCAGGCAAAGGGAAAACAGCCAACTGGAAGGAGGGGAAAAGAGACTGTGTCAGAATCCGCAAAGCTCGTGACACCTCAGAAGCGAGCATCCATTCAAAATGTCGACTAGCTCATCGTGCCTTCCTACAGCGACCGTGTAAGCGAAAATTACATGAATCTCACATTGGACAATGTTGCCTGTCAATCAAACTTCACGAGGCAAGCTCGATGAAACTGGATGCGACTTCATTACAACGCCTGTCCATCCCAGGCGCATCGGCCACCCACCGCGCACGTTCCGTGTCGGCGCCAGGGCCATGTGTGGCGAAAAAATGGGTGATGCCATGGTGGAACACCGAGACCTGCAAAGGGAGGACAAAAAGGTTCACCGATGCGGTGCACGCTCTGCTGCCGCAAGGTTTACGGTTTAGGCTATCACGCGCTCACCGAATGAAGCCTAGTGTCAATGAGGCACGAACCGTGAAGAAGCTAAAACAGGGTGGGCTGCATCACTCTGTTCCGAGGATGTTGGAAGTGGTGGTGGTCATGCCTGGCTCTGCTCCGACGGCGAAGCCGTTATGATGATGAAGCGCGGTGCCAAAGCTGTGTGAAACGATCATGAGGGGAATGGATCTGCATGAGCAGTTGATGGTCTCATCGCGTGTTGCATGCAGACATATGCAGACTTTATGCTCCGCCTTCTTACAGCAGGCCCAGTGGTGCTCTCAGCCTCAGTCGTGAACCTCCCAGCACCCTGCCTTGGGTTTCCAAAACCTTTGCCAACAACAAGCCCTTGCTTGCCCAAGTCCCTCCTAGGTTCACAACAGTCAGGTGATGCAAGATCACGGTGCCGATAGCATTCACGGAGCATGAACGAAGTGATGGAAGCCGCGAAAATTCGCAGCACAAGACTTCTTAGGAGCTACCAAAGGAGACACAGAAAAAGTACGTGGAAGGTTTAGAAAAGCAGAAGGCCTGATCTACAAAGATGAAAACCCAGCCTTGAAAAGTCGTAGCCAGGGCTGCGATTGATCGGCCTTCGGCGCTTTTTGAGATCCCTGCAACTGACAAAACAGCTCGCGGAGGGCCTGGATTGTGTGAAGCCGGCAGGCTTGTACCAGGGAAAATGGCGACCAAGCAATACTCATGGCTGGATGATTGTCATCCGGATATCCTCAGTCGATTTGGCAGTTCTGCAGCCTGCATATTGTCAAGATCTGCTGAGAAAGCAATTGGCGCCAGGGCAGCCCACAAGTTCACCAACTTCCGAGAGTCTTCATGCACAGTGAGCCAAGATCGCAGTATCTCAAAGCCCTTCAAGCAAAGGTTCTGATTGAAAAGCCATTGGAATGGATGGACAAGATCACCTTCTCAAAGCTTTTGCCATCCTCTTGGCACAGATGCCAGACCTGTTCAGGTTCAGGAGCTGAAGCATTTCCCACGCTGCATTTGCCGAGACTTATGCTGCACGGCGCGTGGACATCAACTGAATCGTTGAGAACATCAGCATGACAGGAATAGGTCATGCCAATGCCGCGTCTCAACGAAACAACTCCCAAAAAAAGTAAGGCCGACAACCCTTCGTCAGGAAAAGGCACAAAAAGGAGATGCCTCGCCCGACCTCATCGGAGGCTCAGTCAGCGGCCTGGCAGCGAGGAAAAAACCGCTTAGACGTGGGGGGTATACAAGGCGGTCGTAAGGGTCGTACGGGTATCTCTGGTTTAGGGCCTAGGGTGTTTTTCGCATCTGGCTCCTGCTCTTTGAAGTTTGAGACCCCTTTGACTACCACAGTCAGTTGGTCGAGATGTCCTCCATTCGGGTTGCAAGTCTTGCGGCTGCGAATCCCGCTGTTTAGCAGAGCAGCAAATCCATCTCGGCCGAGTAGGTAATCAAACCTCAGCAAAAGTTCAGGTCGCAGCTATCGAACACCTGTCACATCCTAGCACTTTCCCGGAGCTACGCGATGCACAGCGAATAGGATGTCACCCATGTGACTGCGACTGCGGTTCGGCACACTATGCAAGGCCAGCGACCCTCCCGTGGACGACTTGGAAGTTGCGGAACTTCTTCCGGTGGCAACGGCTCCTGCATCAGTCTCCAACCACCACACAGCATGATTCGATGCAACCGAGCTCAAACGACCGATTAGCATGACATGTCATGGGTATACATATACATGTGTATGTACTTATACATATGCAAACGTACATACATACATACAT